TCAAAAAATCGGATAAATGGTCCATAGTCCATAGGATGATAGGATGTGCTGCCACGTCGGTAATGCCACGATATGATGCTGGCGAGGGGATCTATCGCCCTCTCCCTATTGAAATCGCACTGTATTTGCTTTTTTTTTTTTTTTCCGAAAAATCGAATAACTGAAAAATGGTCCATAGGATGATGAGATGTGCTGCCACGTCGGTAATGCCACGATATGATGCTGGGGAGGGGATCTATCAGCCTCTCCCCATTGAAATCGCACTCTATTTGCTGCTTTTTTTTTGTTGAAAAATTGGATAATTGGAAAATGGTCCATAGGATGATAGGATGTGATGCCACGTAGGTAATGCCACAATATGATGCTGAGGAGGGGATCTATCTCCCTCTCCCCATTGAAATCGCACTATATTTGCTGTTTTTTTTTTTCCCGAAAAATCGGACAAAGCTAGCCCAACAGTGCATAGGTCGATAAGATGTGCTGCCAAATCGGTAATGCCACGATAGGATGGTGGGGAGGGGATCGATCACCCTCTCCCCATTGAAATCCCACAGTATTTTCTGTTTGTTTTTTTCAAAAAATCGAATAATTGGAGAATGGTCCATTGGATGATAGGATGTGCTGCCACGTCGGTAATGCAACGATATGATGCTGAGGAGGGGATCTATCGTCCTCTCCCCATTGAAATCCCACTGTCTTTGCTGGTTTTTTTTTTTTGAAAAATCGGATAAATGGTCCATAGTCTATAGGATGATAGGATGTGTTGCCACGTCGGTAATGCCACGATATGATGCTGAGGAGGGGATCTATCGCCCTCTCCCCATTGAAATCGCACCGTATTTGCTGCTTATTTTTCTTCGAAAAATCGGACAAATGGTCCATAGTCCATAGGATGATAGGATGTGCTGCCATGTAGGTAATGCCACGATAAGATTCTGGCGAGGGGATCTATAGCCTTTCCCTATTTAAATCGCACCGTATTTGCTGTTTTTTTTTTTTTCTTCAAAAAATCGGATAATTTGAAAATGGTCCATAGGATGATAGGATGTGTTGCCACATTGGGAATGCCACGATATGATGCTGGGGAGGTGATCGATCGCTCTCTTCCCATTGAAATCCCACTGTATTTCCTGCTTTTTTTTTTTCCGAAAAATTTTGACAAAGCTGGCCGAACAGTGTATAGGTCAATAGGATGTGCTGCCAAATCGGTAATGCCACGATATGATGATGGGGAGGAGATCGATCGCCCTCTCCCCATTGAAATCGCACTGTATTTGCTGCTTTTTTTTTTCGAAAAATGGGACAAAGTTGGTCGATAGGTCTGTAGGATGTGCTGCCACGTCGGTAATGCCACGATTGAATATTGGGGAGGGGATCGATCTCCCTCTCCCCATTGCAATCGCAATGGGAAAAGAACGAGCCGTGCCATTGGTGAGGAACGCTGGACCCTCCAAAAGCACGGCCCGTGGGCGGGGGTCCTGCGTTTGACAAACGTTGGACTCCCCCGCCTACAGGTCGAGGCATTAGCGGGGCTCCAGTTTGTCAAGCGCTAGACCCCCGCCAATGCCTCGGCCGGTAGGCGGGGGGGTCCTGTCAAACGCTGGACCCCCGGGGAAAAGGGCCGTGCTTTGGGAGGGTCGAGCGTTTGACAAACGCCGGACCCCCGCCCACCGGCCGTGCAATTGTTGGGGATCCTGCGTTTCACGAACGCTAGACCCCCGCCAATGCCTCGGCCAGTGGGCGGCGGTCCAGCGTTTGACAAACGCTGGACCCCCCCGCCCATGGGCCGTACTTTTGGAGGGGTCCAGAGTTTGTCAAGCGCTAGACCCCCGCCAATGCGTCGGCCGGTAGGCGGGGGGGTCCAGCGTTTCACAAACGCTAAACCCCCGCCCACGGACCGTGCTTTTGGAGGGTCCAACGTTTGTCAAATGCTGGACCCCCGCCCACCGGCCGTGCAATTGTTGGGGACCCAGCGTTTCACGAACGCTAGACCCCCGCCAATGCCTCGGCCGGTGGGTGGGGGTCCAGCGTTTGACAAACGCTGGACCCCCACCAATGGCATGACCCGTGGGCGGGGGTCCAGCGTTTCGCAAACGCTGGACCAAAGCCTATCGGCCGAGGCGTTGGCGGGTGTCCGGCATTTGTCAAATGTTGGACCCTCGCCAATGGCTCGACTGGCAGGCATGGGTCCAGCGTTTGTGAAATGCTGGATCGCGGCCCACCTGCCCCGCCATTGGTGGGGGTCCAGCTGACAAACGCTGGACCCCTCTAAAAGCACGGTCCGTGGGCGGGGGGGTCCAACGTTTGTCAAACGCTGGACCCCTGCCCACCGGTCGTGCTTTTGGAGGGGGTTCAACGTTTGTCAAACTCTGGACCCTGCCCGCCGGTTGGGTCGAGGGCTGGGATCAATCGTTTGAACATGCCAGCCAAATGCCAATAGCGACGGCCGGTAGGCGAGAGTCCAGCGTTTCACAAACGCTGGACCCCCGTATACCGGCTTGTGCGAGGTGGGGTTCCAACGTTCTACAAAAACTCTACTTCTGATTACCAACCTCCTCTTTTTTCTTATAGGTATCTCCTCCAGGTAGAGGTCGTAAGGGTCCGAATGATGCGGATAAGAGCTACAACAACAGGTCGAAACTGTATCATGACAAGCTGTGGGCTCTTGACTGGGTCGGTGTGGCCGGCGTGGCCGGGTGCGGAGCTGCTGTGTTTCGGACGTAGGACGAAGGGGCGACCTGGTACTGTTGTGGTGGCATCATCAGGTCTGAAATTGATAAGGTCACGGCGGAGAAGGGCAAAGTCGACGAGCGAGACTTGAGGAAGTTCTTCCTCACTTCGGTGTACGATGAGCAGGGTACCGATTGGGTCAAGACTGACCACAAGGTCAGCCTCGACCTCGCTCTGTTCAAGGGGTATGGTAAGAAGGCATTCACTATCAAAGCCTTCGGCAGCAAGCGAGATGGGAATGCGTTGAGGATGCTCTTACCCATTGAATTCCTCAGCAAGACCAACGGTTATAGAAAAAGTAACGGTCGCCGCTGGTCACCAGCTCACGTTCCCTATTGTCCCGTTTGACGCTCCTGATGAAAGTCTCGCAGACTTATCAGCATGCTCTAGCGATCGCCGACAGGTTGTGTCGACACAACAACAACCTGTTGGCGGGAAGGATACAATTATTACTTGCCAAAGGCGTTCAACCGGTGGGTCATCGGGAACCATTCCGAAGAAGAAGGTGATCGCCGGACCTCCTTCGAATCTTCCGGTGAGCTCGCGTGCTGGTGCCAGGTCACACTCGTGGGACACCTCTCAACGTCGAATGGACGAGGAGTCAGACGAAGAGACGGAGGATGATGCACGGGTTCGGCAAGTGCATTCGACGTTGATAGCGACGCCAGGGCGCATCCAGGACGAAGGCTCTTGCGATGTGAATGCGCGGCGACGAAGTGGTGGAGGTGCCGAAGCTCGGGTGAGGGACGATGGAGAACACGACGAGGATGAGAGGAAGTGTGGTAGTGGCGAGCGGCGAGAACACGTTCGAGGAGCGGTTGACCATATGGAGTGGGAAAAGGTTGCGGTGAGCGGTGGGGTGGGCGGTGGCAGTGTTGGTGGTTCGGAAATGGAAGACGAGGAATTGGAAGACGAAGGAGGAGATGTCGGTGTTTCCGCGGGGCTAACTTCCAAGAGGAAGGGAAAACGCACAGCGCAATCGTCGTGGACGCCAGCTACGCCTAAGAAGCAGGCTCGAAGGAAAGCTGTGGACGAAGCTCGGGTCGCCTTGGATGCATCTCAAGGGAAGCTTGGTGAAGCCGATATGAAATGCAAATCAAGTTGCTCGGGTTCGCAAAACGTCACAACCCAGGAGGCCCGTGCGGCCATCAAGGCGCCAGAAATCGGACGACTCCAGCGACGATGCTGAAGGGGTGGCCCCTCAATTGCTCTCCCTCCTTGACGACGACGAGCAGGAGACGAAGAAACCCAGTGCGGTCAATATGACGCAGTGCTTCTTCCTCGAGTACGACGACAATGACAAAAAGAGAAGAGACCCGCAGAGGGTGGTTATTGACGTCGTGCAGATTCTTCCAATTCCCATGGGAGATATCGCCTTCAACCAGCGATCGTTGAACCCGACCATCGTTGCAGGCATCGAAGCGGCAATCGATGCATCAACTCGTCCAACGTCAGAGGATGATCCGGCTCCGTGGGATCCACAGGAGTTGGTGCTGGCTCTGATTACGCCATCAATGGACGAGAACAGCCAAGAGGTACGCATCCTTCCACATGACTTCGATCCCGATAGGGCAAATGAGTAATTCTATTACCCGGTTGCCGGTCAACATACTTCCGAAGCTATGAAAAAAGCAGTGACGAACAAATCTACAGCAGTGGAGGTGTTCGGATTTCGGAATTATGATCGTGTGCGGATCATTTATTTCTACGACGACCACATGAACGGGTACGCGTATGTTTCGATATACGACAATACGAGAGCTGGCCGTGCTATGTTGTCGTCGTTCCACCAAGCCTACGAGGACATCAGAGGATTTTGGAACTCGAAGAAACGGATCGGCCCTCTGGGCAACGTGTCCAAAGGGGATCCCGCCGGTTTGACGCACCAAGAAGAGTGGAGGAAATTTTTGAGGGCGTGCATCGGGAAGTCATATGAGAAATCACTGTGGACCGAGTGTTTGGCTCCGAAGTGGCAACAGGACTGGACGAACAGAATGAGGCGATATATGAATGTCGCCACATGCAAGGACAGGATATGGACATTGGTAAAGGAGTTTTTTCTGAAGTTCGAGGCGGGGGAGTTGCCGCTACACAACAACAAATGCCCGAAGGACTTGCCCAGGACGAAAGAAGGCCGGGTGCCGGGTCAATGCACTGAAGAGGTGTAGGGGAAGAAGGAGGTGTTCCATTGCATACCGGCTAGGAACGGGGGACCAAACGCTACGGTGTCCTTCAAAGATCTCATTCCGTCAAGCTTCAAATGTTTTGGAGATATGACGACACGAGAGAAGGAAATTGCATTGCGGTTGATGATAAATAAGAAAGTCATCGCCACTACTAGACTGGTTCCTCCTGGGAAGTTGAACATGACCAACCTCCTCGACATCATAATGCACGAGAGATACATGATGCGTTTGTTTAACTACATCGTCTTCAAATCGGAGAACAGAGAGGCGAGAGAATGGAAGGATGATAACTTCTTCGACTATGAAAAAGTGGGGCAAAGGTTTGGTGTGAGGACAACCGAATGGGATGAGGAAAGGGATAGGATCCCTTTGGAATACGTCCGGAAGGTTCCAAAAAGACTCGGCGGAGAGCAAGAGGAAAAAGGTCTAAAAGGAGCTGGCCTGAAGGCCACAGAGGCATTGTATAGGGACGCGCTTTTCCACTTCAAGTACTTCGTATACCATGCAATTGGAAAAGTGGACTTGTTGACAGCTGAGTTGCGACGGTTGAAGAACGCTGCACTTAATCTGAGTTGGAAAAAGAAACAACGACGGTCGACATTGCTACCGGTCAACATGCTCCCCAAGGAGTTGCTGCCCGTGGCCGACGAAATTGTGACTGCGGCTACGAACTTGAATTGCAAGGCGGCTATCCTCGATCTCGCCAACCCGAAGGAGTGCTTTGCATGGTCGCCAACCGATTTCGATGCTTTGCACAAAATGATGACGAAATTGTGCGATAATAATTGGATTTTGATTGTTTTTGCCCCGCAAAAACAACATAAGATCGTCATGAAGCAGCTTTACAACTGGGACAATGTAGAGGTGATACCGGGGACTTAGAAGTGTTATCTCGGGGTCTGGACGGCTGTCAGCAAGTACAGAAACTGGCAAGTCGATTATAAGGACACGATGACGATCGTCCTGCATGCCGAGGGCGGCGACCTCAAGAAGGTCACGAGGACCCCTAAATTGGAGGCGGAGATAGTGGAGCTAAACGTGGAGGAGGAGCACTTCAAGAGGTGCACAGCGAGGCACGGTGGCGAGGAAGAAAACGAACGAGAGGTATATGGGCGGTGGGAACGACATCCCAAACGGTTGCAGAAGTTGTGTAGTTCGTTTCTGCATGAGGATCAGGGGTGATTCTTATCGGGAAGCTGCATGCAGGATTTGTGTGGGAGCTTCTGCGCACTGCCTATCATGTTTTCGCATGCGACTCGTCGTCCAAAGACATTTTGTACTTGACGAAGGCCATCGAAATTCTTGGGAAGGACGCGAGAAACGATTGCACGGTTCAGAGATAGAAGACTGCACACCGTCCGGACAGGGACATGTACCACAAGCTGGGCAAGAAGAGAAACAAGATGTGGGAATATCTGTTCCAAGGTCCACCCAAGTCGCCATTCGAGCATGACTACATAGTTCGCAAAGCGATGGCACAGGAAGCGTATGGCGGCTACCATAAAGCGCAGGTGGGTGCGTTTGCGATATTCGTGGCGAGATGTGAACAAATGAAGTTCGCAGCATATAAGGCAATGCTGACGTACAAAGAGTACAGTAACATTGCCAAAACAACGGATGCATGGAATCCAATCGAGAGCGACGAGGAGACTGAAACATCAGACCTCGAAATCGAAGAGCGAGTGAAACGTTTGCAAGAGGGAATGCAAAGTGTGCCTGCATGCAGCGTGCCGAACGAGAATCCAGAGGAAGGTCGCACGAAATCGGGAGGTGCGAGCAGTCCAACATGTGACGTGACCGACAGGGCGAGTTCCATCGAAGAGATGCAAACGGATTCGCCTACGCCCCTCAGAGGACTTGAGAATGCATTGATTCATGGCAATCGTCACGGGTTCCAGAGGAGGCCTCGCACTCTTCAAGGAAACACGGAACACAACATGCTAGCAGACGCCGATGAGGATGACTTGGCGGTTCCAGATGCCGTTCAGCAGCTGATGCCCGGTGATGATATTCCCGATCGCATTGTGCAGGCCAGCGAACGACCGTACTTCATTGAAGACAAGGTGCTAGAAACGACGTCTGAGAAGTGGGGGCATCACGTTTTGTGGCATATAGACGTATTCGAGCCATGCATTTTCAAGGGGGAGTGGATGGTGGCACTGCATCTAACATCAGGATGGAAAGTCAAACCGAGACTGACAGAAGTACTGTGGCTGAAAGTGGCGAAGAGCGAAATCACTTTCCGTGTCAGGCGAGAAAACGACGGAGCGGACGAGACAGCTATTGAGGAGAAGGCTCAATTGCTTTTCAATTCTCTGCACTCCAACAATCAGCTGGAATATAAACACAAGTTTTGTAACTTGCCTTCAAGCCGGTCATACAAGACCATCGATTGGAAGATCGAACTTCATCCTGCGTGCCAAGGCATAGAGACAATCCAGTTGGGATGCTCACAGCTTGGAGGGCAGTCGACGACGCACTTCGCTGCCAGTGTTGGGGAAGCGATGAGTCAAACCAATGTCAAGATAATGGGGGTGGACAAAGGAACACGGAATGTCGACAAAGATCCTTCGAACGTCGCATCATACGGGCCTCCTCTAATAACTCAGGTGGAAAACCAGAGTGCAACGCAGAGGGAGAGCCTCACTCCTTCCACAAACATGGCGGTTTCAGATGGAATGCAACAAGGTAGGTATGTAGAACGTGCAAGTGAGGTGCAAAAAGATTCCGATGAGATGATAAAATTGCTGGATGAGGCGGAGAAGGACGGGAAGAGGAAGTTAGACGGATGAACCACGTCCCACACTATGATTAATTGTATATCGTTAAGCGATGAAAGGGGTAGACGTACATGTAGACGGACGTGATGACAATGAGGATGCAAGAGACAATGTCGATGAACAGAAGGTAGTGGATGACGGAGGTCAACTTGCGAGACGATCGACAAGAGAAATAAAGAAAAAACACCCGATTAATGTGTAGATATATGCAGAGGCTGAGTTCAGGTTGGCGTGACACTATGTGTATGTGTGTGAGTGCTTGTACACAACGCAGATAAATAGTTTCGGCGGGAGACGTGTGATATAATAATTGATTGCGCAGTGAATTGGAGAGGACATCAGATAACAGTGTCAATCATGATACATCTCTCTCTCTCCCTCTCTCTCTCTCTCTCTCTCTTTCTCTCTCTCTGTATCTATCTATCTATCTATCTATCTATCTATCTATCTATCTATCTATCTATCTATCTATATATGAATATAATGAAGAGATGTCATTGGTAAAGGAGTTTTTTTTTAACTCGCTTATTTAAGGTAAACTCCTAGTTAATGCAATGAACATGACTAGAAATGGACGTATTGAAACATGAACTCACATGAAGACATGGCGCGTTGTCATGTGCAGCGCAAACGACAATGGAGGATAACCGGAGGTGCAAAAACGGATGGAACGTCCACTTGGCAACAACGAATTTGACGGAGAGAGAGATGGAGACCCTCACGCGATTGCAAGTGAAACTTGGGGATAACGACGTCATAACAAGTTCATTCAACGAAGACACAAAAGAAGAATTAACGATGACAGTCAACAAATTTAGCTTGCTAATGATAGAAAAAAAGTGGTTGAACGAGCAGATAGTTAATTTTTATCTTAACCTTGTCCGACTGGACAATGAGTGTCGTGTGAAACACCATAATTGCGATTGGAAGAACGAAAACGTCGTTAGAACAGGAAAGGGGCGCATTCTCACAATAGCAGTTCTAAGCTCATTTTTTTTTGCCAAACTATTTGATAGCGATATGAAGTTCAAGTACGAAAAGGTTCGCAGCTGGTTCACATAGGTCGTGATTAGCGACATGGATTTGATCATTGCACCTTTTTACGTCGCGCACAACCAACATGGGACACTCGTAGTGGCAGACCTTAGGCGTATGAAAATTGAGTACTACGATTCGCTGACGCCGATTGTTGAACTCGCGGCGAAGGTGACAGGGGGGTTCGCAAGATTTTTGTACATAAGGTCGGTCGAACAAGGTCAAGAAATTGACACGAAAAACTTCAACCATATATGGCAAGTGGAAGATATTCCAAAGCAGCGTGACTTCAACGAGTGCGGTGTGTTTATGCTGGCATATGCATCACTATTGGCGAGAGGGTTTCTTCCACCTTTCACGTTCACATCAGATGACACAAAGAAAATACGATGCCGGATAGCTTTCGACGTAGCTGTTGTGGAGTAGACAAATTTGTTCCATTTACAGTATAGACGTTCAAACACATGAAATGACCATGTAGTGATCAGAAATAGATTTGATAAAAGAGAAGAAGAGTTTGTAAGTGCAACGAGGATTAATTATGCGGTTCATGATGAATGTAACTGGTCGTACAATACGGACATTTTATTAAAGGTTTTCTTATCTCTTATGTTCGAGGCTCCTCTCCTCCTTACCCCTTACCCCTTACCCCTT